CTGTAACTGTCTTCCCACGTTTTAAACTCCGTTATTCTGGCAGTTATCAACGTGATTCTCGCCCACGACGTTCCCCACGTTCTTGAACAGTTGGTGGCCACGTGTCGGCGGTTATAAAGTGGTTTCTAACTTCTTTGAAAACTGTCTCATGGGCGAGACAGAGAATGCTGTCTCGCGGGCGAGACAGAGAATGCTGTCTCGCCTGCGAGACAGAGAATGCTGTCTCGCCTGGCGAGACAGTAAAGACTGTCTCGCATGCGAGACATCCCAAACTTGTGTTCTTCTGCCTTTTTGGATGATTTCCTCTTGAGCTGTATTTGGATATCTTTCAGCATTTTTTGACGCCTACAGCAGTACTGAGAGCCAAAATGAAGTATTTGAATGTCATTGCTCTTTATTGTGCACTAAGACTTGAATAGATCTTTACAATATGATATTATCTTCTTTAAATGGTTTTGTAATTTTCCGGGGGCTTTTGCAGATGACTCCCTCCCTCCCTCTCTTATGCTATGTTTGGATGGAGGGTAGAGAAGGGAAGGGGAAGAGAAATTTGAATTTAACATTGTTTGCGAGTTTTATTGGGAGAGTAGAGGAGGAAAAGCGTGAGGAAATTTTACACTAAAACCTTACACCCCGAACTGAGGGGTGTAGAATTTTGACATAGACGATTTGCATTTTCTAGCTCAGTCACATGAACATCAGGTAAGTTCGGGGTGTAGAATTTTGACATAGACAATTTGCATTTTCTAGCTCAGTCACATGAACATCAGGTTACCCAACCCGCGGTGACGTGAAAATACACGCAGTCCGAATTTAAAATAATAAAAATAATAACGGCAGTGAGGAGGTAGAGAGCAAAATTGTCAAAGATCATGAATCCATTGATGCGATGAATTGCTACAAAATACACAAAGTATGTATAAACACTATACTCCATATGGGATCAAAATTTAGCCACACCCAAACTCTTTTCAAGTTCTTGGCCAAAAACTATCTACAACTATAAAAACCACTGAGCTCTACTCATCACAGAGAGCTCAAAGAAAAGAAAATGATGCACTCAAAAGACTTATTACGATTGAGATCACAAAACTTTTCCATGAAAGCACTAGGCTCAAGTTGAACCAGATTTAGCAAAAAAAATAAAAAAAAAACACAAAAAAAAAAACTCCATCCTCACCAGAACCCTTCATTTATGGATGAAAGATCCTCATACACAGACCTAAAACCCGGGCCTCTCACACCGCCGGCCTTATACATCTCAAAGCTTATCCGCATCATCTCCTCATCCTTTCTCTGTCCCACCTCTACCCGTCTTACCGCGGTTCCCCCAATCTCTCCGTGCCATCTCCGGATCAAAAACACTCCCGCCTATACCCTCCCCTCGCCACCCCCAGCCTACCCACGTCAATGCAGCCCACCATTCCCCCGTCCGTCGCCGGAGGGACCACAACTCCGCGCGACTGCTCCGTTAAAAATTTCAAGAAGCACAACTCCAAGGCGTAGACGTCAGATTTGAAAGACCGCGTGATGGTTTTTCGTGGCTGAGCTCAGGCGCCGGTAGCGAGGGTGGCGGACTCGAGATAGTTTGGCAGTGTCGGAGTGGCGGTCAATGAAGGCCGGTGGAGGGAGTAGTCGGCCACGCGGGCATTGAGATCGAGGCCGTCGAGTAGGACGTTGGTCGCCTTGAGGTTGCCATGGGGAACAGAGCGGTCGAGGTGAAGGTAGTTGAGGCCTCGGGCCACGTCGACAGCGACCTTCAGGCGCTGGGCCCAGGTCAGCGGTGGGCCTCGCCGTCCAGGACGGTCTGATACACCAATAAAAGTAAAAGAATTGAGTACGGGAAAATTCTGAAACCAGGCTAGATTAAAAAGAATGAATATGGGAAATGGTTGAGAAGAGTAATGCACACATCACACCAGACTGGATTAAAAAGAAAAAAAATATATTTTTTCCGAATGCCACCTCTAAAATAGGGTAACTATACAAAAACCACCAGACTGGATTAAAAAGAAAAAATATTTTTCCAAAAGCCACCTCTAAAATAGGGTAACTATACAAAAACCACCTCGGAAGGTCAATTAATACATAAAATCCCCTTAATAAAATATTTGTGGTGCAATCGACAACCTTGACCCACTTCTCAACCAAAATTTTCATTAAAACCCCAAAGATACCTTAAAAAGCAGGTGACTCCTTTAAATTAGAGTTTAGGTTCAAGGCACGTGATTCATTTAGTTAAAGTTTAGGTCAGCTTAGTTACAAGTCACGTGCTTTGAATGTGAGTTTTTAAGAATATTTTCGGTAATTCAATGCAAATTTAGCTGGGAAGCTAATGAACATATTTGAGGCTGTGGGCCACGTCGATGACGATTTTCAGACGCTGGGGCCAGGTCGGTTGTGGGACCCTCCCTCTAGGGTTCAGGCATGTCTGATACATCAATGGAAGTAAAAAAGAGGCTACCGAAATACTGATAAGGGATTATTTACTTTATGTAGCAGGTTGGTTATTAGAAAAATGTGACCTTTCAAATAGAGATAAGAAGATGATACTGATAAAGGAATGAGTCAGGGATTGCTTGTGATATTGATCCTAGGAATAATACATGCATCACTTTAAAAGAATATGAAGATGATACTGATCTGAATCTTGAGAAAAATGAAGAACAAAATCAATCTAAAATTCACCAATTGGCACATTTCATATTACAGTTTAATCATTTTTCCTAGTATTTTCCCATGTTGAGTCAAAAGTCTAACAAGCTCAAGGCATCATAGTCATTAATAGACTGGGTTGAGGGTGCAAAAGGGCAGATATGGGCAAAGAAAAAAATCAACAATGAAGGTCCTATCAAGTTTTTGGATGCAAAATTTATCCCTTATTTTGAATCAAGACTTCACGTTAGTCATCTCCCTTTTTCTGATAAAGGAATTTCTTGCTGAAGTGTATAGTAAACATAGCTGAAACAAAAGGCATAAACCAACTATATGTAATGTGAATCTAATGACACATGAACAACTAGAACCATTTACTTCATGCATCAAG